ATAGTTTTAGGATTGTCCGATCTTTCAAATTAGCTTTCCCAACAATCCACATGCCCTCCAATCACTGGTGAGTCTTGCTAAGTCAATTGAACTGTCAATCAGCAAAATCTAACAATGGTGTGCAACATTAAAGGAAGAATGGGGCTTTTGTTGTTCCACCTATTGTGCGTCGATTGGCTAGTGCAATCAACCCATCAGGGCTTTTCAGTGGTTAAAGAGCCTCAAGGTTTGAAAGCGACAGTTGGCTGACTGATTGACCAATTGTTGTTTGGTTGTGCTCTTTTTGTTGTGATTATCTTTAGCCGTGAAATAGACTAGAATGACAACAGTGTTGGGTGACAATGAGTGGTGAAGGAATTAGTGACAATGTTTGGGAGGAAGCAACAGTGGTAAGGAGGAAGCTGATCGGGGTCATTCGTGATAGTCTAATGGTTCATTAGTAATTGTTGTCACTAAAGCATGTGTAAGTACAAATGCAAAACATATGATGCTTTACAATGCTAAATTCATTTGTGACAATTGGAGGTCTCTTATTAAAACATGGCTTCTGTTTATTTGGCTCATGCATAACTATTTGGATTTCTAATAATTATAGCCGGCACAAGGTAGAATTTCTCGTAATTAATTCTTTGAAAAAAAAAATCACTCCCTTCTCTCCAAATTTACCTAAACGAGACTTAGCCCTTATTTTTATCATGAAAATATACTTTCTACTTTTGACTAACCATTCACTAATGATTGATTAATAATTTTGTTATAAAATTAGTGAAAGTAATTTAATTTCACTAGTTTAAGTTATTTATCCGATTAAAAATTAAATTATTATTTGATTCACTTAAAAAATTTAATATTTTTATTTTTAATTTTTAAATTAAAAATTTTAACAATAAAAAATATTTAAATTTAAAAGTTTTTATTTTATAGTATTTTTATTTTATTTAAGTTTTTTAATTTAAATTATGCTTACCCATTTTTTAATTTCAATGACATTCTGACCATTATTATTTCAACATTTAAATTAAAGTAAAAAAAAAATAAGAAAATAAAAATTATTTTCAAATTAAAAATAATAGAATTAAATTATTAAAAGTTAGTTTTTTTTATTATTTTTAAATATTAAAATTAAGATATGTAACTAATAATTTTTTAAATGAATCAAATAATATTAATTAGATGAATAATCAAAATATATAAAATTAGACTATTCTCATATATTTATTAATAAAACTATTAGATAACTATTAGTTAACCATTAATAAAAAGAAAAAAATATTTAGTTATAAGAATAAAATTAAATATTATTTAAATAAACTTATGAGATATTTTTTATCTTAATTTTTTAACCATTTATTAAAAAATCCATGCTGGGTGTCATGTGAACAGCAGTAAATAAATATAACTTTGATGGGTAGTTGTGAGATTTCATGCGGATTCTGTGCGTACGAGTGAGTTACAGGTGGAGACCAGAAGTAATGTTGAAACCCCAAAGTTCGGCGAAAACAGTGATGCACTAAACACTTCAGATCTATCCCATTGGTTTTAACACCATCCAAAATACATATAATATCTAAATATCTAATCCGTCTAGAGTCGCATTTCGCATGTCCCATCCCAGCAGGCAACAATATCTCTTACCTTAACTTCAGCGACTCCTATTTCCACCTCGTATTTCCACGTTCATTATGGTATTAAAATCTTTTAAAATTATTTTTAAATACTATCGAATTGTTAACCATATATTTAAATAAAAATAAATTTATATATATTTTATCGATATTTTTCTAATAAATTCATATTATATAATTAAAATAAAAAAGTATCTTCCCAGCGAAAGAATAAATAATAAAACTTCCACTTTAAATATTTTGTTTTCACCTTTACATTAAAAGAGATAGCAGATGTCACAAAATCTTATCTCACTAAGCAAGATTATTCTTGTTAATTAAGATTCGTTAAGCTTTTTATCCGTACATAACACAGATCGACGCTTAATGATAAAATAAATGATGACTAAGAAAAGCATGAACAAGACACAGACTAACTTCATTGAAAACAATTATATGAAATTAAGTCAAACAATTTCTTTTCCTTTCTTTTCTTTTTATTTAACAAGCTATTCTAGTGTTAACATATATATTAAAATTTTATTTTTTAAATATGGATTAAGTTATATTAGTTGCTATTATGACGATACATTTAATATGTTAGATTTGGTTTGGTTGTATGATTTTTTAAAATTTATGATGTTTGGGTTTTTAGTTTAAAAAAATAGAAATTACCATAATATAAATTTTATAATTTATTTCAATCGTTCAAAAATTATTATCAAAAAAATCGAAGGATTCAGCTTAAAAAATTAGACAAAAAAATACATATTCTAAATTATCTAATATTTTGAAATTGGTATTAAAAAATTATAAAATAAACCATTTTATTGGACTTAAAAACATATGGATTTTCTATTCGGGCATTCCAGATGTATATATGATGCAGTTAGAAAAGCCAATAAAGAAAAATACTACTAACTATATGGGTATCTTGATTGCATGGACCAAAAATGTTCATTCACTAAAGTATGAATATGGGAAGTTAACCCTAAGAAGCAACCTTAATATTGTGCAATTGATCGAGACAAATGTAGACACTTCTAGAAAGGGTTTAACTGTACACCATGCATGTGTACCATTCCATTAATCAACTGGAATTGGAGAATTGCAAGATCAAGTAACATTGATAAGTATTATTCCATATTGGTGTAAAATATTCTAAAGTTTCTAGGAAAAAATATGATATAGCCCAAATGGCTCTCTCTCTCTCTCACACACACACACACAAACACACGCACACACCGCCCAACAGTGCACGCATTTGTCATACCCGGAGGCAGGCATATGTTAAGGAGGGTTGAACCCATCTTTTCCCTGCAGAGTTTATTTCAATTCGGGTACTTGAGAAACATATAAATCCAGGGGTAAGTTACACCATTGGACCCTTAACAATTTGGGGATTCTCAATTGGGTCCCATGACTTTTTATGTTTTGAAATTAAGTCTTAAAACTGATGAAATTGTATCGAGGTTACCCCAATCGGGACAATAATTGAAAAGAGACTAAAGAAGAGCAACGAAAAACAAGGGGGAAAGCCAGCTTCCACGTGGATAGTATTATGCCTTGCCGGCATGAACAACAAAGGAACCGGCCCTACCTGCGTCTTACTTAGGTTTTGAATAAAAACTGAACAGAAAACAGTCCAACACAATTTTGACCAAGGTTTTTTCTGGGGGTGTTATTGATCAATTCCATTAGCCAAAGGACTTGTTTGCAAAAACTAAGATTGGGGGGATCAAATTAAGAATTTCCTAAGATCAAATTAAGCACTATTCCAAACTCATCAGGGGAACTCCATCAGTTTCCACGATCCCTTATTAAATCTAAGGTTGCTTCAATATTTTAATCCCCCAAATTCCCAATACGGAATCCAACAAAATAGTAAATAATTAGGGTCTTGATGGTGATTATCCAATCTATCACCTTAAGAAGTAAGCAAGCACAACACCTGTCGAACCCCCAAGGGCTTGCTGTGGCTTTCATCCACAAAAAAATGCCACCCACTATTATTTTAATTACGACCATAAGAGAGTGCTTTAGAGCTATTATTTTTATATAGTATGTCTAGATTCAGATGCACTGGATACACGTGGCTCTTTTTCATGCCATTTTCTGTTTTTCTCTTGGGCACTCCTTCACGTCAACAATTGCAATAAGGCAGCGTTTGGATGCACGGTGGAATATACGTTAACCTTTTCTTTGGCAATTTTTAGGTTTATTAAATCACCCCTATATGTTACAATTATTGACAAGGGCATCCGCGTAATGTAATTCATAGAATTTTATGGACGTATTATCTAAAAAATGATTTTCCTTTCTTTTTTTTTAAAAAAAATTCCAAGTAAGGGCCGATTAATAGATTAGATATGGGTGAATAAGGATAAATTTTTTATTCTTATCCGATTTTCTTTAATGTTTAGTAAACTAGATAATGAAGTCGAATAAAATATTTAGGTAAGATAATTATTCAATTAAATCTACATAAGCAATATTGGTGGAGGGGTTAGATAATTTATCTAACTCTTATTTAGTTTATCTGAATAATATTGTTTCTAATATTATTTAGTTCATCTGCCACTGCCATCACCACCTATCACCTAGTATCACCACCACTGCTGCTCACCACCTCCCACCACTACCCATAACTAACCACCACTGTCATGATACTATTATCCCCACCACCCTGCACCCGCTACCCACACCGTAACTAGCTACCCACTTTGGTCCATCGTCACAAAGAAATAAAAAGATAATTTGGTATTTTATATATTTATCTAATATTTTATCCAAACTTTTGTTAAGCTTATAAAATATGGTATAATAATCCTAAACACTATACAGTCAGAGTACTTTATTCAGATACTACCTTATTTTATCTTATTCAATTTAGTCTACCAAACAAGTCTTAAGCTGTGAAAGCCTTGAGCTTTTTGAGTAAAAAGTATATAAATTAAATTCATTTTTTCATGAACGACTTCTTTTTTAAGAGAAACCAAACATGCCTCCTGCCTACTAATATATAACAAGAAAAATATGAAAAATTAGAAAAAATTTGAAACCAACAATAACAACTACTACTGCTACTCAAATGGGAACACTTTGATGGCATATGCATATGAACATGAAAGTGAGGCATATGAGGGCATTTTTGTAACTTAGAATGTTAAAATTATGAATGGTAATGGAGAGAGGATATTGATGAATATGACAAGGACAACAATTGACCGGAGAAAATGAAAGTAGGGCAGGTGTGCATGTATAAATATGGAAGCAGGAGCAGGGCCTCATGTCACAACAGAAGTATTCAAGACAAAAAGCAGGACTAGCTAATACATCACAGAAGGTTAAGAATTAATTTCTTTAATCAGCTGCATTTTGGGACAGTAAGTAGTAATGGGAGAAGAGTTTGGATGGGGAGTGATGCAAGAAGGGTGGAGGAAGGGACCTTGGACAGCTGAGGAAGACAGGTTGCTCATCGAATATGTAAAGTTACATGGTGAAGGAAGATGGAACTCTGTTGCTAGGCTTACAGGTTCTTATCCATCAAACCTACTTCAGTTTGCAACTCATTCATCTGTTTGTGTCTATTCTTCACCATATATGTGTGCCTTAGATCCATATTACCTTTGTAACTCACTGAGTCTAATCATGTACGAGGCCGTAGAATAGAAAATTAAGAATCATGCAAGTGACTCCAAGTAAATTAAGATGTATAGGGGTAGTTCATGGTAATAATTCATAAGGCACTGTGTTTATTTTCACTTGTGAGTATTAAAATCTGCAATTGTTTGGCTGTGCAGGATTAAAAAGGAATGGAAAAAGCTGTAGACTAAGGTGGGTAAATTATCTGAGGCCAGATCTCAAGAGGGGCCACATCACCCCTCATGAAGAATCCATAATTCTCGAGCTTCATGCTAGGTGGGGAAACAGGTAAGCACTGGAATTTTTTTACTTAGCTCTCAAATTTAATTAACATTTCTTTTTTAACTTTTTAACTGGATCGCTTCAATTCCATCCTTTACCATGTTCAAATCTGGAGAACCTCATTCTCTCTCTCTCTCTATCCATTTCTCAGGTTAGATAACCATTTACTTATATGGTAGAAAGATGGCCGCTAAAAGAATTGTTATCAAATCACAGGTGGTCGACAATTGCGCGAAGCCTACCAGGAAGAACTGACAATGAGATCAAGAACTACTGGAGAACCCATTTTAAGAAGAAAGATAAAACGTCCTCAGACAGCGCCGATAAGGCAAAATCACGACTCCTCAGAAAACATCAGTTTCAGCAGCAGCAACAGCAGCAGCAGCTTAACCAAGTAGACATGAAGAAGATCATATCATTGCTTGATGAAGAAGGTTATAAAGTGCCTTGTGTTGCTCAGGTGAGCCAAGAGATGGCCAATTTCTACCCCAGTAACATAGCTGAGGAATTGCAAGGCATCTTACACCCATATCCAGTGTTCAATGCTTGCGCTTCTGTGCCAGCTCATGAGGCCATCACTGAGGAAAACAATCATATTCTATGGGATGGGCTGTGGAACTTGGAGGATCATGTGCATGGAAATTTTGGAATGGCTTGGGCTGCAAATTGCAGAAGTGCCCTCCAGGGAACTCTATCTTATCCCTTCTACTGATGCTGCTTTCCTTAAGTAGCTTTTCACTTTTGTCTGGCTTCGTAATGCTTCCTTTTGTTACTAGTTGTGGTTGGAACCTAAAGGTTCTCAATCAGGAAGGATCGAAAGTGTACTAAGTGACGGAACTTGTTGGTTTGTGCTTATAGCTTACTTGGACCTAATGCTTGCAAATGTATTTGGTTATCTCCATTCTGCACCTGTTTTTTGCTCTTTGTATATGAAATACTCCATTCTGTCTATCTGAAAACACAGATTACTTGGATTATCATCCAGGGAAAATTACACTTTTGATCTCATAGTTTTATCCTAGCTCGATTTTGGTCCCAATACTTTCATTTATTACATATTTAATCCTGAAATTTCTAAAATGCGTCAAGTAAGTATAATAGTATGTTTTAGATTGTTAGACAGAAACTCTGATTTATTTCACACAGAAATTCTCATTTTTATCTTAAGAAAATAGGAGGATTTCTTAAACATTAGCAGATAATTTTACACTATTTTCTGGTTAACTTATAACAAGATTAAAATATGTGAAACAATTATTCTTTTCTATGCGTATAAGTTTTAAGATTTTTCAGCCAAAAATGTAATGATTCAATCTTTAATGAAAAATTAGAACTAAGGAGGGGACTGATTTTATTGAATTCAAATTTAATATGCTTCATGGCTTTGAAATTTTCGTTTTTTTTTCTTTGTCATATTATATCCTGGACAGGGGAGAGATTGGGTAATTGACAGCACATGGTAAAGCCAGTGATCCTCTGCCCAAGGGGTTCGAATTAGTGGAAATGGACTGATACCTATTCAAGCAGACTTTACCCAGATTGGGGTTCGAATCTTGAGAAAACCCCTTGGAAAGGGCTCTACCGGTGACCACTCTGAAGCCCTGGAGGCTTAGGCTTCCCCGCTTAACCTTTTATATCACAAAAAAAAAAAAAAAAAGCCAATGATCCCCTCACCACTAAAGCACATAAGCTGTTCTTACAAAATTTAAATTGTCTACCAAATAGGAATAATTTAGACAGCTTGATATATAAATCTTCTGCACAATGATGGTTCCCAAATCATAAATATTATGAGTTAGTGCAGGTTAAGTTAAATTGCTGCACAATTTATTCATGTGTACTGCCTCATGTCCCTCAAAAGGGAAACCCAAGGACAAAAGCTTCAATAAGTTTCTTCTTAAAAAAGGAAAAAAAGAAAAGAATAGCATTAATTAGAATTTTCAAATCTTCAAGGACCATAAAGCAATAATTAAACCCATCAAGCTCATACTATAATATATTTAGATGATCACTATTCCCTCTAGGCTCTCCTCACATTAAAAAATTGTCTAAATAATTTCTAATTAGGGAACCTCCTAGTGACTGTTCTTGTCATTACTCTTATATATATATGTTAATTGGCCATGCATTTTTGAGTGACACGTATTAATAATGAGGGATTATCTTATTGTTAACAGCAATCATGGACCACAGCTTAAGAGCAGCACCTTCTTGGAAATTTGTTATATAGAAATGAAGAATCTATCTGTTCATGCTGATGCAACACACATTTCAGCATAGGAATGAATGTGTTTGTATGTGGAATTATTTTACTGGACAACTCATATTGAGATATATTATCGTAGTAGTGTTTCCAGTAACTACTTTGACTATTTAGTACCTAGTACACTTCGAATATTTAATACTAATTTTAATTCAGTGAGACACTTCTATTGACTACTTAAGATTGTAATGGATTTAGCCTTTGTTGGTATCGAATCATTTTCCAGATTAGGATTCACATTCGGTGATTGTAATCTGGTTTTTGGGTTTAGTTCAGATTAAACTTGAGGGATTTCTAAGATAATTCTACTAGCCACCTATGAGTATAAATGGATTTAGGTTTTGTGGTTACTGAATTGTTTACCAGATTTGGATTTAGATTTGATTATTGTGATTTGATTTTTGGGTTCAGTTTAAGCTTGATAAATTTCCAAGAGTTTGAGTTTGGGTGTGATTTTTTTATATAATTGTATTTGAATTCCCGAATACCCATATCTCGTATTTCCATTATGCATACACATGTATATATATTAGTATATAATATCAATATATATATATATACACACACATATATATTTTATAAGACACATAATATTAAAAATTTATATATATTTTAAAACTCATAAAACATTATTTTACAAAGAAAAGGATTTCAACTATTTATTTGAAAATATGTAATCATTAGATTGAAAATAATGTCTAGTAAAGACAAATTAAAATGATGAAACTAAACTTTAGTAACTACTCACTTAAACTTTAATAACAATTATATTAAGTATTTGATAAACAATAAAATGGTTAGAACGAAGTATTATAAATTATAATTTTATGTGTATGCTAGAAGTGCAACATGGTGATCAAATTATTTCAAGGCTCAAGGCTCAAAGTTCAAGAGGTTAAACTTATAATATAACAAATTAGATACCAAAATGTAAGTGACATTTAAATGTATTGGTTATTAATTTAAAACTAGTTACATAATTTCTTTAATTAGTAATTACTTATTATGTTTAGAATATTGTTAATGGCATATAAATAAATTCGAGTTTAATAACATTTTGATACTTGATCTCATTGAAATTAACATTTTGATATATTTGGGCATGGTTAAAACATTAAAAAAGAAAAAGAAAACTAATTGTATGCCACCATACTATAAATCTGAATTTGAAACTTTACATTAAAAAAATCCATCAATCCATCACTATAGCATCTAATAACATCTGGTGGTCTTATATATTTAATTTTATTTATTCAATTTTAAAATCTAAAATGTATGTTAAACAAACAACAAATTCCCATTTTTGATGAAAAATTTATTTTGAACAAATAAATAATAAATACTAATAAAATATTATACCAAAATTGCAATAAATTAATTCTACCCAATTTGAAGAGATTTAAAGTTTTTGATTGGTTTAGAGTAAAACACATAGCAATTAAGGTAATGGAAATTTGCAATGACGATCAATAGTTCCCTTAAGTGTCAATAGAGTGGAGGCTCAGAATGTATCCCTAAAAAACAATAATATGTAAACATAGATTTCTCCATGACTCTATTTAATTTGAAGGTTATGAACATTTTAATTTTATCTTCTTAGTACATACAATTGAAATTGTTTTTGCATATTTGAGTCCTCCATTTTTCAAAGATGATTGCGAACGGGGAGAAACGCAAATAATCTGCACCAATTATGTTTTGATGACCCTAATTCATTTTAAAGTCACTATCAAATTTAAATTGATTTTAAAATAATAAAATTTACTTGTTAAAAATAATTAGTTTAATAATGTGTTTAGGAAACTTGAGAGATAAAAAGAAAAGGAAAAAAATAAAATATGATGCATCCTTACCTTTTTTTCCTAGTTTTAGAAAATTATTGAGAAATTAATGAATTAAAAAATTATCTTTTTACGTAATTATTATCTATTTTTGTTAGAAAAAGAATTATCTTTCTCAATCCTTATAATTTTGCAAACAAAATTGTAATTTTTTTTGGGATTCTGTAATGATCCTAATTTTAATTTTTAAAATGAAATTTTATAAACTTTTATGTTAAGGGCGTGATTGCACAAAATGAAAGTAGTTGGGGTTAAACTATAAATCTAGAAGGCCATTCATGATTAAATTAAGGATTTGGGGGATCTAATTAAGAAATCAGAAAATTGGGGGAGCAAATCAAACATTCAATGGGCTAAATTGAAAGGAAATAAACAAATGGGTACATAGTAAAAAGGCACAAAAATTGGGGACCAAACTCAAAATATGATTAGGTGAAATTGAAATGAATAAAAATTTCGGGGTGAAAGAGGAAAACCCAAAAAACTTCTAGTCGGTGACCAACTAAAAGTTTTGGAAAAATTTCATTGAATCGGTGGCCACTGTACACATCTATATATACAGATATGTGTGTATTCATTCCCCCCACACTTCTCCTTGATCAATTTTAGTTCATGCTCTCAGAAATTGGAGAAATTGTGCAATTTTTGGCCGACAGTTCCGTAAGGTTCTCACCTTCAAATTTTCAGGTAATTTTCTTAGATATCAATCAATTGATTTAGGAATTCTTTCCAAAATCATGTGTATGAATTAGATCAGGTGTTATTTTTTAGCTTTTGTTGGATTTGGAATGGGGTTAAGTTTTAACTTTTAGTTTGGGTTGTTCAGGTATTTGGGTGTAGGAAACCAGGTTCGGACCCAAGTTGCCAAGTAAAGGAGGACTCGGATTGCATCTGGGTTTGTATGAGTTGGCTAGGGCGGCTCAGTGGTATAACTAGGCTTAGTGAGCTAACTCAGGCCAGTTTTAATTGATTTAATTATTTTCTTAAATTTTCCTATCCCGTTTAGGGCATATTAGTCCGATTCACCCTGGTTCTAAGGTTTTTAAGTTTGATTTGGTCTACTTCTGGGCAATTTGAAACCAATTCAATTAGATATTTTGGTTTTCGATTCGGTTCACTTCGGTTTCTTAAAATAATTAATTGGATAGGTCTAGTTCATAGGAAAATAAGAAGGTATCAGACTAGTTCAAGGGAAATTAGGAGAGTTTTAATCCAATTCAACTGGTTTTAGGCTTGGTTTAAACCGATTTAGGTGGTTTTGGCCCCATTCATCCCAGTTCAGGGGGTTTTGGGCCTAGTTCAATTTGGTTCAGGGGTTTTAGGCTCGATTTAGTTTGGTTCAAGGGGTTTTAAGGTCAGTTCGGTCTAGTTTAGGGGTGTTCGAGCTAGGTTCAATCCTTTTTTTTGGGGGGGGGGGGGTTTGGCTCGGTTCGACTCGGTTCTAGGGATTCTAATTCAGTTCAACCCGGTTCTAAGGTATTTTGGTCCGGTTCAGCTTAATTCAATGGTATTTAGGGCATATTCAAGTCGTTTCAAGTTGGTTTGGGTATATTTAGTGTCGGTTCACTTCAATTTTAGGGTTTTTACGTGAGATTAATTCATGTTTCA